TTGCTTTAAATGCTAATGAGCTCTGCTGACCCTGCCCCTCTCTTCTCTGGGGTGAGGAACAGTGCTCTGAGAGACATTCATTTAGCCATGAAATGTTCCGGTTACTAACATAACCTTGGTTCCCTGAGATAAGGGAAAGAGCGTTGTGTATGGGGAGAACTCCTGTTTGACTCTGTACTGAAGCCTGATTTGTTCACGTTTGTGTAGCTGCACAAACCAACGGTGCTTTAGCTGCGAGCTGAAGGCTGAGCTTCTTCCTCCTTCGGCTTCTTGATAGAGTCAGCGAAGAGATGATCCTCGTTGCGGAAGGAGCATGATCTGAAGAAATGGCACTGCGAGCCGACTTATATACACGTCGGTTCCGTCCTTTCTGGCGGGCTAAAGCACCATTGGTTTGTGCAGCTACACAAACGTGAACAAATCAGGCTTCAGTACGGAGTAAAACAGGAGTTTTCCCCATACACAACGTGAAGTGAGCGTTCGAAAGGGAACTTGCTAACTAGCACGTTATTAGGAACAGCGATTGCAAAGACCTTATACTCACTTCTGCTGTAAGTGAAGCTGGATAATGAATGATTCACACGATGCATTTATTCCCTTCACAAACAAAAGTAATCTATGCCATGGTGACACAATCGGCCTTGGAATGCAGTCTTCGGAGGGTGCATCCTGAATTGGGACAGCTTACGTCGTGACTGTGATGAAACATTTGTGCCCGTGAGATCCACATAAATAGGCTGGCGTGTGACTCTGTGGCATTGTGTCTCTGACGAATTAATAATTGAAAGTAAGGGTTGCCCAGAAAGATCAAATATCCAAATTAATGCACAACTAATCTTATGATCCACTATAAATGTAAATATATTTTATTCTAAAATATGGGTTTAGAATAAATTACCAATTGAGTCAGATTTTAAATTTGAAGACTAAATTAATTAAGTGATTTTTACAGAAGCAGTAGGTAGACAAGACGCAGAATCTTTCACCCCACGCCACTGGATTCTGTCGTTGGACTTTAGGGTTCACCCTTTCTGGCGGGCTAAAGCGTCATTGGTTTATGCAGCTACACAAACGTGAACAAATCAGGCTTCAGTACAGAGTAAAACAGGAGTTAACGAAACTGGATAACAAATGATTGGCGCAAACATAGATCTGGCTGGCTAATATAAAGACATGTTCTCATTGTATGTATATTGAGAGGGACAGTTCCCCCCAAAAAAATATTAATGTCATTCCAAACATGTATGACTTTCTTCTGTGGAAACACTAGAGAAGATATTGAGAAATGTCTCAGTGACTCTGATTGGTTTCCAACATTCTTCAAAATATATGTTTTATGTTCCACAGACAAAAGAAAATACAGGTTTGAAACGATATGAGGGTAAATAAATGAAGACAGAATTTTTATTTTTGGTGAACTTTCCTGTTAAGGCATTTAGCGCTTTTATCTCAGCAACTTCAAAAAGTTTTGAAAGCAAAATTAAAGTATACCATGTTTATGACATCAATCTATAAGCAGCAGAGATTGCCTCATAAAATCTCTTTAAAATATCTCTATCAAAGTAAGAGATTTGGAAAGCACTTCATTATTTTTGTTTAGTACAGGACACCCAGAAAAAGTAAAGCATTCTAAAATGTATTGCATATGAAAGAGGAAAACTTCAGCTCTCAACAATTTGGTCTGAGAATTATATCATTCTAAGGTTTAGCAAAACGGATAAAGGCAATCAAGAGTATATGAGGAAATGTTTACATATTTTAAAAAGATAACAGAGAGAATATAGAAGTATTTAGTTTTTTCTCCCCTTTCATTTCTTTATCCCCTAATTAAACTATGTGCGCTCCGCACTCCCGACCAGTAGGTGGCACAAATGCACCTTTTACACTGGTTTCCAAGACCGGCAAAAACACTATAAAAGGAAAGAAAAGAAGAGGTGCAATCTGAACAGCGGTTTCTAAATAACAGTTTTGCAAAGTTTTTGAAGAATCACGAATCGTGTTTTCTTTTATCACTATTTACAAGTGCAAGACATGAATTCAGACCATCTGAAAGAACATAAATCGATAAAGATAGAGTAGCCTATATTGAAGATTACAGTGATATCAAAAGTGATCCAGAACTCTTCAGAGTGAAGCATGAAGATACGGAACAAAGAGATGTTTATTTTTGATTTTTCGTTAACGATGCTGTAAAATCAATTTATCAATTTAATCTAGCTTGCGCTCACTGTTGTACATGGAAGCAGCTCGGGGCGGATGACGTAGGACGTCGGCGTTGCTCAAAAACATGCACATTAAAACAAAATCTGGTAAATTTTCAGTTGTTTATATCACATGTCCTTAGACAGAATGATAATTTCTATAATTTTTCCATAAAATTCTACAATCTGGAGATTTGAGCGCAGAGACTCATTGACAGATAAAATATGTGACCAAATAAATATGATATATGATTTGATGCAGTGTCTTGTATTTAATGTTTACCATGGTAATGCTAGCCTTTTGCATCGCATATAAATAATATCATTCTGCCTTATACAGTAATCAGAATCCACATCAGATCAAACTGAATTTTATGTTATTTCAACCACTTCCTGCTCTCTGAAAGTAAATTTTCAGTTAAAAGGATTTTAAATGTCTAATGCTGATGTAGCTGCAGCTATATGAAATGATCAGCAGTAGTGCTGCACGATAAATCGAAATGAAATCGCAAATGCTACGATTGTCATGCACATCTTGTCAGTGAAGCACGGTTCTGTGATCAGTAGTAAATCTTCATCCAAAGGCCTGAGGACGCTCTTGCACGGAAACGCCAAATATGCCCGCAGAAGAAATCCAGGAAATGCGGTTGCTGAATAAATCGGGTGTGCCATGGAGATTTACTGCTGATTACAGAACCGGCTTTACTGACAAAATGCTCATGACAATCGCATTAGATTAATCATGCAGCCCTAATCAGCAGCGCTGACCCTCTCCAGACGGAGAAACTCCTCCTTTGTTCATAACCACAGCTCAAGCCTGAGTTGGCCCGCTTTGGACCAAGGTATTCGGCAGGCCAAAAAACCCTCGCCGTTCGCCCAGAGAAAGCCCAAGAATTAACTGTGGAAATGCACCTGGCTCTGGCACGCACTAGCATGCCTGCTTTTGACCTGAAAGTGGTAACGCAGCTAATCATAACTTATTAGCCTATAGCAACTGTAGCAAATGTCCTTTCGCGTCACATTTCTATCATGATTTTTTTTTTTTAATGATTTACTTTAAATGATTTTTTAATTAACTTTAATTTCAGACCTGATGGAAGAGAATGAGAAGAGGGAAGAACTGAATGAAGCGGAGGAGAAACATCATGTCAAAACTAAAGATAAATCTTTGAGTTGCTCACTGCAAACAAGAGCCAAAAAATCTTTCACCTGCCCTCAGTGTGAAAAGAGTTTCTCATCCAAACAAGCTGTTACGTATCACATGAGAATTCATACTGGAGAGAAACCGTACCCATGTGATCAGTGTGGAAAGAGTTTTAGATGAGCAGGAGCTCTTAAATTACATCATTTTAAATTACACCAGAAAACACACAGCAGTGTGAACGATCATATTTGTTTTTATTGTGGGAAGACTTTTGCTATGGCTACCATATTGAAACAGCACCAGAGAGTTCACACTGGAGAAAAACCTTACAAGAGATTTAAAAGGTCATTACAACAGAAAACACATG